TGGGAAAGGGGGAGGAGTGGGGGAGGGGGGAGAGAGGGAGGGTGGGGGGAAGGAGTGAAAGAGGGGGAGGGGGAAAGGGGTGGGAGTGGGGAAGGGGGTGAGAGGGAGAGTGGGGAGATAAGGGAGGGAGGAAGGGGGAATGGAAGGGGTGGGGGTGAGATTGTGGGGGAAGGGGTGGTAGGGGAGGGCGGGGGGGAGACAGGATGATAAGGAAGGAGATGAGATCGAGTTGAGTGAGGATGGGGTGAGATTGAGGGGGAGGGGGAGGTGAAAGGGGGTGTTTATTATTGGTTAAGATTTTAATATGGCCATCATTATAATCTATATCATCATATTAGCATTTCTATCATTGCTATACTCTCTCTCTCTCTCTCTCTCTCTCTCTCTCTCTCTCTCTCTCTCTCTCTCTCCTGTCTACTCTTTCTCTCAACCTTCCTACTTCCTTTCCTCTCTTCCTCCACATTCTGTCTCGCTCCTTTCCTCTCTCCTTCACTCTCTTCTTTCCTCCCATCCTTTCCCATTCCCTCTTTTCCATTCTCTCAGCTTCTGTCTCTCTCTCCTTTCCTCCCTCCCTCGCTTTCTCACTTTCTCCCTTCCCTCTCTCTTCCTCATTTCCACTCTCATTCTTCCTTCCTTCCCCTCCCTTCCTCTCCCCTCTCTCACTTCTCCCTCTTTCCGTCACTTCTTCTCCCGTCCCTCTCTCCTCCTTCACCCTTTTATCACTTCCTCTCTCTCTCTCTATCCCTCACTTCCCCTTTATCTCTTCCCTCCCCCCCCCATCTCTTTTCCCTCTCTCTCCCTCATTCCCTCTCTTCCCCTTCACTCACCTCTCTCTTTCTCTCTCTCTCTATTTCTTCCCCTCACCTCTCTCTCTCTCTCTCTCTCTCTCTCTCTCTCTCTCTCTCTCTCTCTCTCTCTCTCTCTCTCTCTCTCTCTCTCACTCCCTCTCACTCCCTCTCTTCCCCTCCCCTCACTTCTCTCTCTCTCTCTCTTACTCCCACTCTTCCCCTCACCTCTCTCTCTCTCACTCACTTCTTTTCCCCTCTCTCAGCCTCACTCCCCTCCCTCCCCTCCCCCCCCCCTCCCTTCCCTCACCCTCCTCTCACCCCCCCCCCCCTCTCTCTCTCCCTCACCCTCCCCTCATGTTACTTACAACTAACTCATCGTTAACATGCCACTCCAGCGTTGCAGCCGGCTTGGAGTAAGGCGAAGTGCAGTTGACATGTACTCTCTCTCCAAGCTGGTAGCTGGTCTTCACGCCCTCCAGAACGGGCGTGCTGTCGGGGAGGTCTGTTGTGTAGGCGTGGCGTGGCGGGGTGGGTGGGGGGGGTGGGGAGAGAAGATTAAGAGTTAATGTTAAAAGGTCTTGGTTAAAAGGCTGTGTATATATGTGTGTGTGTGTGTGTGTGTGTGTGTGTGTGTGTGTGTGTGTGTGTGTGTGTGTGTGTGTGTGTGTGTGTGTGTGTGTGTGTGTGTGTGTGGAAATTGCGTGTGTATGTTGGAAGTGTGTATGGATACGTTTGTGTGTGTTTGTTTTTGCTGTTTGTTGGCTTGTATTTGTGTTTGTTTGTTTGTTTGATTGTCTGTTTGTTTGTGTGAGTGGTTCGTTTGTTTGTTGTTTGTGTGTATATGTGTGTGTGTGTTTGTTGTATATGCGTGTTTGCATATATTCATATACAATCATCTCGTAGATAACACAACAACAGGAAAATCAAAACGAAAAACAAACAACTCTCTCGAATTCCTTTTCGTATTACTGCCTCATCAGGAAAAAACGGAGAAAAAAAATCCTTTAGCAAAATCGTTCTTCAGTTTACACCATGATTCACCCCCGTATTTACGTCAACGAATTCTCAAACTGTGTACCCAATGCCCACGTTTACCTTCCTGAGTTTAATACTAGGATAAGTACTAGAATAATACTACCAATAATACTAGAATAAACTACACTAGGATGATACTAGAATGAGATAATAATAGGATAGACTATTACTAGGATAAATTAACATTAGAAAAAATACTATTACTAGAATAAATTGTTATTCAGAATAAACTATTACGATAATAAACTTTTACTATAATAAACTATTACTTTAATAAACTTTTATTATAATAAACTATTATAGAATAAACCATAATAATAATACTGATAATATAAAGATGACGGTTGAAAACTGAAGAAGAGGAAGAGGAAGATAGAAAGAAAATTTACGTTAACCCGTTTCCAGTGTCCTATGCCCAACCTAACACTTACAACAAAAACACTTACCTATTGCGGAAACGAAAGAAAAAAATAACAACTAGGAAAACAACCATAACAACAACAACAACAACAACAACAACAACAACAACGAAAACACTTACCTATTACGGTCATGTTGCCTTCCCCGATCTTCGTATGGAATAAAGGTCCTTCTGTAATAACCTCACACTTGTATTTCCCTGAAGTCTCCAACTCTACGTCCTTTAACACGACCGTCACTGCGCTGCTGCTGTCAAC